GAAAATAAAAATACACAGAAGAAATGCTTTGTTTTCCATCAAAAAGAGACTGTTATCCATTTAGGTAAGCAAGTGATGTATACATGGCAGGCTTCCAGTGTTCCAAACAGTGGGCATCCTGGGGAAGACGATATACTACGTCCAGCAGCAAGGCCTCTGATCAGGAGGTTTTGAGGAGTGTGGAACCCCCTCTAAATTGTTGGTGTTCCCAGGTCTACCCTGACCCGGGGTGGTAGCATCTGTTAGGGTCCCAGCTATGGGCAAATAGTTAACTATTACCAGCAATATTTTTTGAAAAAAAATTATTACCAGCAATATAATTTTGAAGGAAAAATATTACCAGAAACAGATTTTTGACAAAAAAAAATATTACCAGCCATAAAAAATGTTGTCGGCATTAAATAACCCATTGAGGTTGATATGCCGTAAAACAAAATAAACCAAGCCAAGCAGTGGAAGCCGTAATTCTTATTCTGAGTGAAACTTCCTCCTTACAAATGGAATACGCGAAGACAATGAGGATGTTTCGATCCTGTGGATGTGGCATGACGAATGTTAGCGGTAAAGATCTCAAACTGATGGAACTAAGTAATGTAGTTCGTTTGAACATTTGCCCTGGAAATAGCGACGGAGCAGTGAAAGACTTGCGATTTTTCGCCTGTGAAAAAGCGGCTTTAAGGTTGAAAAGAATCATCCACAAAGCCACGTAAACTCTTTCATGACTGGGATGATTGTGCAGCTCCAGCCCAGACATGGCAGAAACATTCCATTTTTGATTCTTGTAAAGATAGAACAAAAATTAAACTGAAAAAAAAAACTTAATAAAAAACGCCTTTGACATTTGGTGATCGAGCAATCATAAATAAAATAAATTTATCTCGCAAAATATGCATTCTTTCGGTCTAAAAATAGTAGGCATTGAAAGGCTCTTTTTAGTCTTGAGGCTATCGTTCTTTCCATTGTTATTTCGATCAAGCTATGGAGATTGTGTTCGTTCCCCTCGGACGTACCTAAAATAAATCGATGTCTCACATATCAAGGTTCACAGTCACTCTGCTAATCAAATGCTTGAATTTAGTTTCTTTTTTTAAGAGGAAAGAAATAATGGGATTTTTTAAAACGTGTTTATTTCTACGTGAATTCTTACTTTCTATAAAACACTATAAAATATACAAGATTAAAGTGTAATTGACTATTTTTACATGTTGCTATAAAGTCCATCAGTCCATCTTCTGGTCTGGTTTTTTGTGTATTCAACGTCTGTCAATTTTCTTTTCTTTTTAGCTCAACACAATCCGGTTGAAAGGGCGCCATTTCAGTTGCAAAGAAGATAATTGCTTAAAAAATCAGAAGTCACTCTAATGTATGATCAGTAAGATTTATTTAGCCGGAATTAAGGACACCGGGGAAGTTGTTCGGTGGACACACGTTTCAGAGTTGGTGAAAAAGAGACAGCAAAAAGCTGTATGAAATTCCCTTTAAAGCTCACAAACTGAAATGGGTTTTTGCTTTGATCGCTACAAAAGCCTGCAGCCTAGCGTTATCCTGATTGAATATTACGTTGTTTCTCTTATTTCTCCATACTTTTCTTTAACTAATAATGTCATGTGACAACCTGGAACGGTACTTGTTCGAATTATTCTTTTGCTTCACTGAAATGATCTCATCTAGAGGTGATTCCTTTCCAATCTCATCAAAGACACAGAACTTGTTTGTTGTACAGTATCTACTTCTTCTTTCATGTCATAATTTGTTCAAAGAAAATTCATTTTTGTTAGATTTTAGCGAATCCTACGAGGATATATACGGACGTGTGGTTAGCGAAACGGATATCGTCACGGAAGGAGGAATCAGCAAAGCCGAATTCAAATGCACGAATTCCCCTTTTTTGCCTCCCGACAGTTCCGGGTTAAATAGTCGGGACATCTCGGCTTTCTAGCATTGGGTGGAAACCAGTCAAAGTGAAGAAAATCTCTGAATTTCACGTCGTGGAGAAAGCAAAGGGAAATCACTCCACTGCTTATCAATTCAAAGATAATAAAAAAGGAATTTGTCAAGAATGATGAGCACTTACATCTTGAAGGAATATGGTATTCAAAATACGATGGGAAATACGATGAATAAATTATTTTTTATTTAGAACTGGCAAATCTGTCACAACATCAAAAACGAACTTTTGAAGAAAGTTATTTCAACCAAAAATGCACTTACCTTCCTCTCCTTAGAAAAGACTCCCAAACCCATTACGTCAAGGACCATCTCCCATTGGCTAGGGAGCTTTCTCTTGAATCTCCGGACCATTCATACATGTGTCTCCGTCTATCTCTCCTTAATGCTGTAAGCCACCTCTTCTTCCTTTATCGCTCTCCATGCTCCCAAGGCTGTGGTGTACTCGAAAGCATTTTCGACAATATAGACAAGACTATCTCTCTTCATCCGTTTGCTCATATATTTGTGTAGGGTGACTTTAACGTCCACCATGCCAAGTGGCTTAAAAACTCCATAACTAACCTTGCTGACATACGAACCCTTAACTTTTCAATTACTCAATCCCACACACAAGTAGTTGACTCTCCCACCCGTTTCCACAATAACCATGACGGTACTGCTACCTTTCTCGATCTGTGTTTCACCTCCATCCTGTCGTGCCACGCAGCTCTGCCCTCTTGGCAACTCTGATCATGCTGTAGTGTATGTCAACATCTCCTTCTACTCCACTCCCAGCAAAGAACCTCCTACAAACAGAACATCTTTCTGTTATAAACGAGCAGACTGGAACTCGTTCTGTGATTTCTTTGCGATGTCCCCAAGAATGTGGTCTCCCGCTTCAAGAATGCGCTTCCGAGGTCTCCTCCTGAGTAAAAGCTGGAATCGAGGATTTCATCCCCACAAGGAAATATAAGGCTAAATCACGCTCATCCCCTTGGTTCTCTGCTGCTGGCTCAGTTGCCATTGCCCATAGGAATCACTACTTCCGCCTGTACCGTAGTGACATGTCAGATTCCAACAGACGTCTCTTTGTCTCAGCCTGTAATGAGTACAAGCATGTCCTCAATGAAGCAAAATCCCTATTTGCTTATAAAATGAAACAACGTATTGCATCTTGCATATTCGGCTCCAAAGATTATTGGCGTCTCTGCAAGGGCGTACTAAACAACAGAAAACCCACAATACCTCCTTTTGTTCAACCAATTTGAGGTCCTGACTTCCTCGGTTGATAAGGCCAAGAGCTTTGCTCGTAAATTCTCTCCAATTCAACGCTCGGTTCGTCCGGTGTACCCACACCCGATTTCCACACTAGAATTGAGGCTCTGTTGAGCGATTTGCACATAACCCCATCGTTGACATTGGCCATCATCTCTAGATTAGACTCCCATGTTACTGGTGGCAACGGGATATTAGACATTGTCCTAAAGAAATGTGCTCCTGAACTGGCTCCTGTCCTCTCCAAACTATACAACTACTGCCGCAACGATTCCTGTTTTCCATCCTGTTGGAAGTCTTCATTTGTTGTACCTGTCTTTACGAACTCTGGCGACCCTTCTGACCCATCTAATTACCGTCCTATCAGTCTCCTACCACTCTTCGGTAAAGTCTTTGATGCTTTAATCAACGCCGAAGTGGTTAAGCACCTTACATCCCATGATCTGCTCTCTAACAAGCAATATAGTTTCCGATTTGCCCGATCTACAGTTGATGTGCTCACGACCATAACTGAATTTGTTTACCAAGCACTTCACAATAACAGAGAAGCTTGTGGCGTGACTCTAGATATCTCTAAAGCCTTTGATAGGGTTTGGCATGCCGGCCTCCTTCGTAAGCTTCAGGGATACGGTATTTCAGGTCGATTATTTGACTTAATACAATCATTCCTGTTAAACCGTGTAATGAAGGTCGTCCTTAACGGATTCTCCCCCAGTTCCTTTCTCACGAACACTGGTGTTCCCCAAGGCTCTATCCTGAGTCCTACACTGTTCTTTATTTTCATTAACGATCTTCCCGATGTCATCAGTTCCCAAGTAGGCATCTATGCAGACGATATCACCATTTACTCCTGCCTAAATAGTAAATCTGTTATCGCTGACCGTTGGTCTCGAAAAGGACCTCCAATCGGTTGTTGACTGGGGTAGGAAATGGCTGGTTAACTTTAATGCCTCAAAAACAAAACTGCTCTCTTTTACCCACCACAGAAAACCCTCGCTGCCTCCCATTGGAATGTCTGATGCTCAACTCTACGAGAGCACCTCTTTACGACTGTTTGGTCTCACACTGTCTGTGACTTGAGATGGAACAAATACATTGAATCAATAGCTTCATCCACCGGAAGGAAAGTTGGTTCTCTGTGTCGCACCAGAAATTTTTTCTCGCCCGAGTCCATCCTTCCAATCGATAAGTCAACCATTCACCCTTGCATGGAATATTGCTGTCATATATGGTCTGGAGCCCCCGCTGTTCGTCTTAAGGCCCTCGACAAAATCCAGAGACGGATATGCAATGTGTTTCACCCTGATCTGGCATTACGTTTATAGTCGCTCTCTCACAGTCATGCCATCACCTCCCTTTGTCTTTTCTGCAAATGCTTTCACGGTAACTGCTCCGACGAGCTACTTTCGCTTGTTCCCAAACTGCATGAATTTAAACGTACAACTAGGTCTACATCCCAGTCCCACCCTTTCACTGTCGAAACGGTTAAATGTAGCCGTCTCTTCTACTTTAATAGCTTCATGTCTCGCACTTCCCGTCTGTGGAACTCCCTTCCTCTTACTTGCTTCCCTGATAGCTATAATCTCCAACTATTCAAATGCAATGTCAATCGACATCTTCAGATCCTTTGATCTATTCCCCGTCCTTCTCTTCATCCTTTCTATCACGACTCTTTACTCTTGCCCCCACTTTCTGTAACCCCTTGTGTGCTAGTGGCACTCCCACCTTGACTGGGGGGAGAGTCTTAAAAAATACTGAACAGAAAAATAAATAAACACTTTTTGCCCAACACAAACGAGAGAGAGAGAGAGAGAGAGAGAGAGAGGGGGGGATAAAGAGAGAGAGAACGAGAGAGAGGAGGGATTGTTTGAGAGAGATAGGGGAAGATAGAGATAGGTAGAGAGTGATGGAGAGATGAAAGAGGAGAGGGCAAGGCGAGAGTGAGAGAGAGAATGGGATGGAGAGATAGAGGGTGAGAGAGAGGAGAGAGGGATGGAGATAGGGTGAGGGAGAGAAAGGGATGGAGAGATGGATGGAGAGAGAAAGAAAGAGATTAACTAAATATTTAATCAGACATAAAACAAAAATATGGAATTATCCCATGAGGATTAAAGAAACTACGATTAGTATCAAAACTAGTTTCGTCACCAACCCTCACAATGTGGCTTGAACTGTAACCCGATTGGATATTTTATGATTAAAATAACTTTTACCATAATGGAAACGAATACACGTAGTTTTTCTGATGGGTTCCAACTTCCGGTATTTTTCTTCTCACTTTTACTCGTGTTACTTCAATCTGGCAACATGACATTGTATTTGAACGCGATTTGTTTTTTTTTTTAAACAGCAAGGTTCACGCTGTACAAGGCCCGAGAGCCACTCAAGGTAGAAGATTACGGTAAGAGGGTAGTTTATATGGATGAGAGAGAAAGATAACAGTTAACTCTAGACTTTAACAGGAAACAACGTCTTGGAAGTCTGTTCCACAGGGCAGCGATTCGCGGGAAGAAGAATAAAAACAAAACACCAAATTTATCTTTGTATATATAAAAAAAACTGTTTTACATGAAGAGAGAATCAATATTTCCTAAAAAGAAATTCTTTATTCAATTCGTTTTCTTTGTAAAATGTTCGTCATCATAATTTTGAAATGTTTTCTTTAACTTTTCGGTGCCCCCACCAAAAGAAAAAGCCAAAAAAAGCCCAGAAACCTAAAAATGATTCAGATTCGCCTTCCCATAATTCATGAATGATTTCATGTCTAAAGATTGGATGGAATTCCATTTCTTTATTTTAAATTCTGATTTCAAAATTTTAATCATCGAAATGGTTTTATCTTCAATCGCCATTTTCTGTCTTTCTGAATTCTGTTCTTTAGTTGTGCTTTCGTTGTTCTTTCATCCATTTTTTTTCCGTTATCATGAACCCCCTTGCGTCTTAGCGGCATTATCTCTTTACCTGTGGTGAAATGACTTTAAAACACCGTCAATTAAATAGACTGATGAAAATTCACTTGAAAAAAGTAAGCGATTTCATTTCATGGGGAAAAAAAAACCTTTATGCTAAGAAAATAATTTTCGACAAAACTTTTTAAAATACGTTTGTTTTATTTTTCCACAAATCAACATTTTCCAACCAGGAATTGTAAATTATAAATCACGCGTTAAATATGAATCCAGTAGGGCTTTTCGCTGTGAAAAAAATTAGTCTCTCAAATTATTACTACTGTTGAGGATTCCCTACATTGGGCGCCTCACACTTTTATCGTGCTAGCAAATGTTCAACAACTGCTTACCTAATACCATATATATTAATATATACATCTTATTTGATTCAAGTTCCGACGAACAGCGTATTCTCTTATTTTTTTATATTCTCTTATTTTTTTTATATAAAATAGTGTGATAAATCTGTGTTTTATCTTTGTGATAAAATATCTATATATATATATATCTACATATTTTAGTTGAATTGTAGTTCATTTGAGACATGAAAAAGTCTAAAAGTTGTTTTATTACATGAGTAAATAAATTCAATGTCGATGCACCTCATTGCAATAATTTGTGTGCATTATTCTTCTATGTGTCGTGTCCTTTCGGGACATTGGAGATCATGGCTCTCCACATCTTTCTTTCCTATGTAGGATTTAGAAATATTTGTTTTATTTTACTATCCTTATCACTCCCTGTTCAGTCATCGATTCACACAAGCTCGTTAGATACATTATTAGTTCTTCTCTTCTACCCCAATTCATTCCCTAGGTCCTGTGAGTGTCAAATTTTCCAAGAGTCCATTTAAGTTTTCCGTTTCTTTAAAACGTCCTCGTTGCCTGCATGCTCAAAATCCTTCTGTAGAACTATATCAATTACCGCAAATCATCTCTTTATCTGTGAGGAAATTGTCCAGAACTCACTGCCATATACGAGGATTGATATTGCATAGCAGTTCAGCACTCTTTTCTTTGTTTCTAATGAAATATTTCGTTGAGTCGTTCCCCTTTTGTGTGCATCATTACCATGTAATAAAATTGTATCATTATTTACATTATTCGGACTTTTGTGTTCATCTTTGTCGCCATATTTATCACAACGTTTCGGCCATTGTACGCTCCGGCCTTTTATTTCGCTCACTGGGGTCGACTGTTCTAGTTCCATGTGCCATGTCTAATGGATGTCAGTTATCAGTTATCTCCTGTTAATTTCTCCTTGAATGTTCTCCACTGCCTTAATTTCAACCACCTGAAGAAGGCCGAAGCGTACAAAAGACGAAACGTTGTAATAAATATAGCGACACTCTTTGGATCCTGTCACTGGATCTAACTAACGCCTTTATCTACTTTGCCATGTGTCCTGGTTAAGGCGGTGCAGAACTTAGAGAGGGAATTAAGTAGGAGATAACTGATAACTGACATCCATTAGACATGGCACGTGGAACTAGAACAGTCTACCCCAATGAGCGAAATAAAGGGTTCAGTTCGATATTCCAACCACTTGAAGAAGGCCGGAGCGTACAACGGTTGAAACGTTGTAATAAATATGGCGACAAAGATGAGAACAATAGTCCGAATAATGTAAATAATGTACATAATACCTCATCTCAGAAATATAGACAAAATTGTATCAGTAACACAGTGTGAACTATCTTATAAAAAGTAAAAATACAAATATTGATGAATTATTGCCTTTCCTGAAGCTGTGAAGTTTTCAATTAGTCGATGCTTTGACACCAATTTTCATTCCTTTACGAAAAACGTCGTTAAAAAGCCCTTCCCTTGATCTTGAAACATTTGCCAGCCACCCTCATATCCCCAGCAGATTCTAATCAATTTCTCGCTCAATTCATCTCTTTTACAAGCTTTACGCACTAGCAACGTACAAGTAGTGTAGTCTCCTGCTCCCACATTAACCTTTGTCTCCGCGTCTTGTCAGCAGGCGCGCACGCTATCTGGTCTCGTCTTCGTTCTCTAAACTTCAACTGCCCATATAAACACACGTTCTCTGTCTCTTGCATCATCATTTACAAGGCTATCATCGTTTGTTGGATCAGCACGTTGCGTGTCCGCAGCTCTTCCGATTTCTAATACTAAAACAAGACGCTCTAGACAAGATGCAAACCAGGGACTGATTTATAGAATACAATTTGCCGAAGCCGCCAGCATGGCTCCTCCTATCTAATGGAAGAGTCATCTTTGCGCCTGCGCAGTAATCAATCAAACAGGAAGCATTCGAAAACAGTCACCTGACCCCTGACTATTCTCGAACGATTTCGTTAAAAGGAGAAGGTCAGTGTTAGAGAACTCTCTGCGTCTCGACCTAAATAAAACCAACCCAACATCTATTAATAGTGTTTGAATGACATTTTGACACTGGCCCTTTTATAGATGCGCTAAGTAGACGATGGGAAAGAATTCATGGTTGTTCAGCGAAATTGTTGAGTGGCTGTTCATTTTCCTTTTGTAGTTTTTCTTAAGATCCCAAATTTTAGGTTTTTGTATCTTTACAAAATTAGAAAAGGATTTTATTTCTGCCCGCGTTTAAGAGGATCATCCTGTTTGTGATTATGTTTTGCATTTTAAAAGAGAGATACATATTGCAAATAAGTTTTAAGTTGTCACTTTGTCATTGCCTTGTATGAAGTTCTCGAGATTTTTCTCACCTAATACACTTGACGAAGTCTGAAGAATAGATCGGCTGTATTATCAGTAGCAAATATGCAAAGAAAACCCTTTTAATGTTCGAACAATAATGGATAAGAAAATCCACCAATTCCATTGAGAAAGAATGAAATATATCAAAAAAAGTGATTTCTTGGAGTTCCTATTTTAACAGTTTTGAATCGATGTTTATATTCACTAAAAAATTAAAATAAATTGAACCGGAAACTTTCATTGAAGAGACAAAGACCAATTCTATTTTTTTATTATTTTTATAAATGTTTTCCAATACTAAAGGAAAAATCAACAACTGAACTTATTATCACTGACAACGTAGATTCCCGTAAAGATGAGATTAATAGATGAGAAAATCATAAAAAGACTTTTATTACGATTCATTGTTACATTGTTCAGGATTACTGCATATAAATGTCTGTGCCATAAAGTATATACGAGTGAATACATTACGAGACATTACGAGATATTACGAGACATATACGAGACACTGACATTGTAGCAACACCTACCCACATTCCCTTTGTAATACATCGGTGAAAAGTAAGTTCCACTCGAACTTCTTCCCGTGAAGCACTCCCAGGAGGATGTCTCCCCGATCCCTAAAATTTTAATTTGTTCAAGTCTAGAGTTAACCGTTATATTCTCCTCCTATCTGTATAAACTACCCCTTAAAGTAACCCTCTCTCTCGAATGGCCCCGGGGTCTTGTAAAGAGTGAACTTCTTTTTTTTTACTCCCGTTAAAATACGACGTCAGATGTTGTCACACTGAAGCATATTTGAAAGGAAAGTTGAAAGAAAAAAAACATGTCAGTCAAATACCATTTCTTTCATATTTAAAAAAAAGGATCTACAAATATTTTTAGCAGGAAAATTTTCTGATTCACGTATCTGAAAGGTATAAAGTATGCTATGCAAGTATTTTCAAACTACATCAGGTTATTTTTCATAAGAACCATCAAACTTTATCCAAAGATTATATTTAAGCAAGATTATTATTAAGTAAAGGCTTGGCTTGCTTTTCTACTTGAAGGCGAATAGGTGAGTTGTAAATTACTACTGATCCACAATTATTGAGAAAAGTTTAAACAAGGAATTGGATAATGATATCTAATAATTAGCTGATTAATAACGATAGGTAATACGAGAAATTATTATTTTTATTAATCCCAAAACAGCGAAAGGTATTTTATATGAATCAATCGGGAAGATTGCAAAACTCAATGAAGCATAAAAATACAAAATTTTTGAAGTAGAACGAAATTTTAAAAAAATTCTCTAAGCACAACTAATTTTAAACCCGTTGCTAAGGAAATATTTACGAAGCTCAAATCATTGAATATAGGCCCATCGTGTTACGTTCAATGATTTCATTTTTTTCTATGCTTTTCTTTATTTGTTTTGATATTTTTCCATTTTTTTTATTATCATTTATATCTGATAATCACGTGACCAAATTATTTACACGGAGAACAGGAAATATTTAATGACACAGGATTTTACGAAAACTTTTGGAAGAAGAAATCCATCGTGGTGACAAAAAT